TTGTAGACCTCTGATCTAGAGTCACTGCATCTGACAAAATTTCTGGTAGGCGTTATCAAATTAATTATAAAATAATATAAATATTAATCCTAACAGATATTCTAGTGTTGGGTATCTGCTTCAAGCCTTCTTCTAAATAGGGTCACCTCAGGTGCCACAAGACTGTACTGACTTATAACCAAATTCAAGAATTCAAATTTACATTTCATAAAGATTTAAAGTCATTTTCTTATGTACAATTTATGAATGTATGTAATAATCACCTAATGGAAACCTCTGTAATCAAGGTCAAATCTATTCATGCTTGATTAAGTTTAATGACTGAAAAAGTAAATAAATAAATAAAAATGACTCATTTGTTTAGATAATGAAATCAAAGATACCAAAGAGAAGTTGAACTTGACTTAAACTCTGTTCTACCCTCAGTAAGTTTAATATTTGTTGTTCAAAAGATGTTAATTGTATTCTGAAGTTACTTAGTAATGATGTAAATTTTGAGGCTTTTATTTTGACACCGACTGGGACAGGAAGTGTGAAGGATGTTTGTGAGTTGCACAGGAGAGAGCATGGATGAAGCCACATATTAATCCTCTTGAATATATGAATAATTGTCCAACTTAACCATTAAGGCTTGTGTTTTTAACAAATTGAATATACTGTATCAATAATTATGATGAAATGCAATAAATAAATAAATAGGAGAACTTATGAACAATTTATTTTTCCCATTTCAAAGCTTGATTACACCGACTCTGTGAAGTGCACCTGAAGTATAATACTGACCTTCTAATGTTGCTGTTTTTTTTTTTTAAAGCAAATGTCATTACATTCTGAAATATAAGATACTGAAATGACATGTAGAGGTCTAATAATATTTTTGGAGCCATCACCTTGCCTGTAGGTGGAGGAGGTGGAATAACTTGTCTGTCACTGCCTCTGTACAAGCACTCTAGAAAGCTGGTGCACACACTTAGCAATGCAATAAATACACTGAAGGAGAAGTGGAGAGACAGTGAGGGAGAGGAGTGAGACATGAAGGAAGTGCTGACGGGCTGAGAAAGACTGGAGAGAGGCAGCAAGGGGAAGTGAGAAAGACTGATGCAGAAGAGGGACAAAAGCTGAGATGATTATGAAACGATTAGAACGAAGAGAGGCGATTAGAGAGCCACTGGAAGAATCAAGTGAAGCTCCAGAGACGCCTTAAAGCAAACCGCTCTCCAAGATACCCCAGATGTAGCACATTTTTTTATAATTTCTTTGTCTTTCCTCTTCAGGCTTCTGCAGCATGTTAAGCAGGCCCTGTCAGCAGAAACTTGGCAAACCTCAGAGCTACATGGCTGATGTAGCCTGGATGACGACTCCTCCCAATTCTGTTTTGTAGCGACGTCCATTCGGCTGAATTACGACCTGGCCTCTAGCAAGACATGACAAACATCTGCCAGCTGATTGGCTCATAAATTTATGCAGCTGTTCATTGCCGAGCGAAAAGAATCCCGTTGTGTTTCCACTACTTCTTCCAGGACTCTGTTGTGAAAAATAATTTAAACTATGCTGCGATATTGACAGTAAAGCTGCTGTTAAAGCTTAGTTGAAAGTGTTGAAGAATAAACATGAACCAGGACGCAAAAATTATGCTGGTGATGGGGAACAAACTCAACTTTTAATTTATTTTTAATTAGTTTAAAGAATCAGCTAAACAGAAGACCTTAAAGTGCTCCCTGTCCAGATCTGATGCTTAATTCTGTCCCCAGTGATTGATTGGATTAGTTGGTAGTAGGAATGCATGAAATTGGATTTTTGGCCGATATCCAATACGCCAATATGTTAAAACTTATTTGGCTGATAAACAATACCAATACAGATATTTTTTCCCTAGACCTACTTATGCGCATGACGTCATAACGTTGTGCTGGCGACATCCTTGTCACTGGGTTGTCATACAAAAACCAAAAAGAGTGCCGTGTGTGTATATAGATTGATTGATTGATTTTTTTTATTAAAAGCTTTGTGTGAAAAATGCTATGCTAAAGAACTCAAACCACACAGAGCGTCCGCCATTTTGAGAACCAAAAACAAGGAAGGAGAGACGGCCCGTGTCACGTCAAGGGGCCTCCCTCCAATTTTTCTTAAAGACACGCTGCTCGCTCCCTCGTTATCCATCCTTTGGTTCAAACAGTCTTATACTGCCATCTGGTGGTCAAGAAAAGGTACTACATGCAAAATAAATTAGCCAACATTTCTTCTTAAATTTGGCAATAATTACTAATTATTGTCAAATTTCAAACAATATAGTTTATTGCAATAATTCCTGAGACAATTAATCGCCAAGCAAAATTTGTATCGTGACAGAACTATCAGTGAGTTATCTTGATGGCCGATCAAATGGCCGATGTCCGATATTTAACTTTATCGCTAATATCGTCCGATACCAATACCATGCCGATAATATCGTGCATCCCTAGTTGGTAGCATTAAATACAGGTTTGAACTGTTACAGTGTGCGTTGAAAATGTTGCACAGACCACCTTTAAAAGTGGTCTGGACACCTTTTCTGCATATAGTTGGTAGTCTGGACACAGTCCATCCTGATGCTGAATGTAGGACGTCCCATTAAACTCACATGACCCCTTAAAAACAGAAGAATATTACCTGGATGTCTCAGGGCAAAAAAACATAAGCTGCCCACTGATAAACGATAATTAAACAGGACTCTTTTTGGGATAATTTCTAAAGTGTTTTTGTTTGCTTTGTTTATGGCAACAACAAAAAAAATAATAATGAACTGTTAATCAGAATCTGTCATAAAAAGGTTGGTTTTGTCTGGATTTATTAATGTGAGTGGATTATAAAGACACTATGTGGGTTTATCTTCAGTGTATTGTTTGTTCTGATTGTTTTTGGACCCATTGTGGTAAACGCAAAGCAACAGTTTGAGCAATGCTGTGTCACATTATATGTTACACATTCATAAAACGGCTGACGGATGCTGGCGCACTGTGGACTTTTACAGAATGGATTTTTTTTTTTTTATTTTGAAATACTTTAATCAAAAAAGCTTAATTTTGTTTGTTATGCACTTTAAACCTGTATTTTGCGCTTTATTTGTAAGTCTGTTTACATTTCATTTTTTGGCATCATGTAAACCAAAGTTTTTACATTATGTTACACATAAAAATTACACATAAAATTAACTAAAATATTAGTGATTTAGATTTTGGGAAGAAAATTAACTGATTAGATGACTTGATTAATTGAAAATAAAGGTGATAACTTAATGAAACAATAGTCATTAATGGCAGCCCTAAACATGAAATAGTTAAAAAAAGTAAATGATGGTTATCTGATATTTTCTTGAGAAGTTAGGATAAAAATGAATTTGTCCGTTTTTATTTTAATGCATTTAATTTGGAAAATGTTGGTGCAAGGTGCCATTCAGGGAAGGGATTTGATCAGCCTTAAGACAACTTAAGTGGAAATGTAATATGTCAAGGATTTCAGGTAGGGGTGCACCGATAAATCGGCCCTGATTTCCTTAATTTTGGGAAATCGGAAATGGGCCGATACTTGAATGAGAAACCGATTTTACCGATTTTTTATTTTTTTATTTTAACAATTGTCTAAACTTCATTTATATTTCAGAGCACTACCTCATGGCCAGTTAAAAAAAGTTTGTATTGTTTCTAGGATATTGTTCAAGGGTATGTTTTTCAACTAAATATTGGGAAATCGAAGGCGCATTGTGACCTTATAACACCTGACAGTGTCGCTTATTAAGCAAAATCGGTTTCAGCCAAAATCGGAATCGGCAGGTCAGACTTTTTAGAAATCGGTGATCGGCCAGAAAACTGCAATCGGTGCACCCCTAGTTATTTAATAATTTTAATAAGACATTAATTCAAAGGAGAAGGTTGCTGGTTCGAATCCCAGCCAGGGAACTTTCTTGGTGGAGTTTGCATGCTCTCTCCGTGCATGTATAGGTTTTCTCGCACAGACCAAAAACATGCATGTTAGGCTGATTGGTAACTACATTGTCCCAAGGTGTGAGTGAGAGAGTGAATGGTTATTTGTCTCTATGTCCCTGTGATGGACTGGAGACCTGCCCTAGTTGTCCTCCACCTCTCTCACAGTGATAGCTGGATATGGGCACCAGTGACCCCCGCAACCCAAAAAGGAAGAAGCGGGTAAAAGATAATTAATGGATGGATGGATGGATTCAAAGGTGTCTTCAGTGAAAGTTACATGTTTTGAGTCCTTCTTTTAACTACTTCTCCTTAGTTTGGCTTTTTACTGTTTGTGGATGAAAAAAAAAAACTATTAGTAAAGTGGTTAGTTTTGCTTCTATTCAGCGTAAAACTGAATATTTCTCTAGCGTGGATATTTACTCGTCATTCTGATGTAGCGTTTTGTTTTTGTATGTGTTGGCATGTGATATTCTGTTCTAGCATCCTGAGGTTCCACCTGCACCATCCTTTCATTCAACAATATCAAAAAGTTTCATGTTCCTCAAAATTTGGGTCACGACTTGTCATCAAGGGGCGATGGTCAGTCCTGATACCAAACTAGCTGGAAGCCACTGGTTTAGCTAAGTTTTGACCATTCACTGACCTCCATGAAGTCCCAACTTCCAGTCATGCTAATGGAAGTCTGACAAAACATCTGCACACGGGAATTATTTCTCATTGTTCTGATTTGTTAATGCAGCACGCACGTGAAAGAGAGCAGACACACCTTTTTTGTGTAATCTGTAACTTTGAGGTTAGACAAGGTGGGAGAATTACAGGAGCTTAGTTATATAAGACCCCGAACACCACAGAATTAGCTTCACAGAGGAGAGAGCGCGCGTGCTTAGTCACTAAATTCACTTTAACACACATTACAACCAGTAAAGCGCAGGTGAATACTTAATTTAATGAATAACACACGTTTTATAATCCTTCCTCTTTTAAAATGACTGATTATTGATCAGTGAATAGCTGATATTTACACAGGTGTGCTGTTACCTTTGATTCGGGTTGGTTGGTGCCCTGCCTGGTAAGGTCCCGGTTCTGAGGCTCGCTCTCCTTTTCGCTGATTTCCGTCATCTTGAATCAAGAAAACCCTCCTTCAGCTGCAAACCTGAAGTCCACGGCGACAAAGGAGCAAGGAAACTCATACAGAGGTCTGAACACCGCCACAGTGTCGCGTGCAGAGATTAGACTCAGACCGCCGACGCATAATTTATGAGCAGCATCTGTTTAAGGGTTTAGCTTTCGAAAATGAGCGCCTTCCTCTCGGGGTTGAAGCCCTGAGTTGTTAGAAATAGGACCAATTAAAAAAAGATGCGTCCTGCTGCTCTTTCTCAGCCGCCTCGCGCACACTCGCGCGCGCTCCTCTTACAACAACTTTGATTTCGCCGTCACAAAGTGTGTGACTCCATCTGATTGGTCCAGGCCGACAGAAAAGCGTCAAAGCAGGGACAGCAGAGCCTCGCGCTGATTGGCTGAGAGGTGGTGACGCTAAGATCTACAATAAAAAAATATATATATTTAATCCTATTTTTTTATTATTTATTATTAGTGATTTGATTATGGTTTTGGTCTTTTACTAAAGTCTAATTTCACAAGATCTGTAGAGTCAAAACCAGTCATAAATTCAGACGTCAACAACAAAAATTGTTGCAAAAATATAAAGTAATTTTAGTTTTACTGATCACATCAGTAAACACGTCCACCTAGATGGATTGATCCATCAATATAAAAACAATGCATAAGCTTTTTTTGGCTGATGTAAAAATTTTGAATATTAAACTTTGCAGCACATTTTCTCACAGAAATAATCAAAGGCCTTGGAGGATTGCATATTGCTCACTATTTTTTGTATGCGAGATATAATAGTGCTAATAATGTGTTGTGGGTGATTTTCGACTAGTATCACTAGGAATTGTAGCTCAGTATTTGTTAAATTGACTGAGTTGTGGCTATTTTTGTTTAGGCTAACTTGAGTAAGCTGTAGCAGACATCTTGAATTGTCATGACTTCACTACTCAGTTGCAGACATGCAGCTAATCGTTAGTTTCTTAACCTTCCAGGACCTGGCATCCACATATGTGAACAACCTGGCATCCACATATGCAAGAGTTCGGGTCTTAGGAGGTTAAATTTCCATTAAGAACCATCCAGTGGTTCTCGAGATATTTTGCTAACAGACAAACAGGGCTGAATACAACAGTTAAGAATACAGTTTTACGCAAATCTCTCATGCAATGTGTAACACTTAGGGTATATGTGAATCACTCTCAGCAACCACACCAAAATCTGTAAAACTGACTTTTAGCCATTTCGGGTTTCCTAAGGTCAGTTGGCTGCTGCAGCTGTATTAATTTGGATTGCCTCCAAAAATAAATATATTGTAAGAGTATATTTACTAATCATTCTCTGAAAGTTTCATTAAAATCTCTCCTGCGATTCATGTGATATTTTGCTAACAGTCAGAAATGGTTGACCAATCGTCAAAGCCAAAGCTTTAAACAAAGATGTCCCTCAACTGCATATTTAAAACCTCACAACGCTAATAAACACTAAAAAACAGCTATTGTCCGTCTCCCTGCTTGTGCTGAATTCATTAGAAAAAAGAGTGAACATGTAGGTTAGACGTTCCAAGCGTATGGTCCACAGAGAACACCAGCACTGGAGCTGCTGGGTGGCTGATTCAGCACCAAGGACAGCTCCCCTGGCCTCCCTGCCTCTGTAAACTGTCTCACTAATTATCAGGCTGCCTGGTTTCATCCAGTCTCGTTTCATTCCTTAACTCTCTCTATCAAGCAACACCAGCGTGTGTACAGAATGCTGTATACTCTGTCACGCTGAGTTAAATATAGAAACAGCACAGAACAAAGCAAAGGCACTAATTATAACTCTTTGTGCAAGAAGGCGTGTGAGTTTGTTTTGATTCCCCAAAAATGTGCAGTTTTTTCCCCCTTTTTGGAGAAACCGTTCACTTAGAAGAGGTGTAGACCTGGACACGATGCCAGTTTATCCCCAACGCCAAAACAATATTTTGTTAAAGGGATGCAGATAACTCCATAAGCTAAGAACAAATGTCTTTATCAGCAGCACGGTGGTGCAGTTGGTAGAGCTGCCACCTTTCAGTGAGCAGGTCGCCCAGGTTCAAATCCCGGCTGGGGGTCTTTCTGGGTGGAGTTTGCATGTTCTCTCAGTGCATGTGTGAGCTTTCTCCCACGGACCAAGAACATGCACGTTAGGTTGATTGGTTACTCTAAATTGTCCCTAGGTGTGAGTGAAAGAGTGAATGGTTGTTTGTCTCTATGTGTCCCTGTGATGGACTGGAGACCTGTCCAGGGTGTCCCCCGCCTCTTGCACAGTGATGGCTGGACATGAGCACCAGTGACCCCTGTGACCCCAAAAAGGAAGAAGCAGGTAAAGATAATGGATGGATGGACGGATGGATGTCATTATCATAACTCATGATGACTTCAGAAGGCTAATTTTAGGTCTGGCACTTAGCATTGAAGGTATGACATTGGTGTCTGGGCTTAAACGCAGCAAATATAACATGCTGTACACAATCAGGATTTGTTTAATACTCATGAGAATCACAAATAAGAGTTTAAAATGGTCAGCGTTTGTAATTTGCTGGACAAGTGACTGCAAAATTTATTTAGACCTTGGCAGTTTTACAGTCTGCTGCTTATCTACTGTAAGTGAAAATGATGCATGAAGTCTCTTATGGCTCCAGGGGGAGCTACATTAAGTTGGCAAAGGTTGGGGCAGGACCTAGCTTTGAAACAAGATCTGCGAGCCCGTCTTTCATTTGCTCTGAAAGAGTGTGACTGGACCCCCTCCCATTCAAAACAGATGTATCCTCCAGTCTGGTCCGTTTCAACTGTTTGCACAATCTGATTACTATTAATGAGCAGCAGCCTTTCAATTTGTTAATTGGTTATAATAACAAAAAGATAGGCACTTTATTTCATAAAAGAAATAACAAACAAAAGGATGCTGTTCTATCAAGTTTTTAAAAAAAAATCCTGGGAACTCTAAAGAGGAGCTGAATGGAGAACTCCCTACAGTTCTTTGAAAGTATTAAAAGTCACACAAATAGGAGAGTTTACCCAATAAAGATCTGAATAGAAGATAAACAAATTGTCTCCTTATAATTGAAGAAGGCCAAGAAACCACATTATAAAGTACACCACTTTGTGTAACATACACTGAAGTTTTTATGTAGCATAAAAATACACAGACTATACAAAGGAAGCACATTCCATAAAAATGTCTACACAGCCAATAAAAGTTAAAATGTAGCCTGAACAAAGGACACATTGACATATAAAATATTGATGAATTAAGACAACCCCTATTTTGAGATTAAATGTCCTATCTAAGGTCCAGCCAAATATTTATGGGGTTATTTCCTTTTGATAGGGGCCCTGCAGCTGCTGAAAGGCAGTTTGAAGCTCCTCCGTAGCCCGAGTAAAGTCTAGCGTCATCTGCATAAATGGGCACTTCAGCTGTAGTCTTGTTCATCCCGATGTCATCAATAGAAATGGACTCGGAAGAGGCTGTTTCTTAAAGTGGTGGGAGTTTAAAGGAGAGCAATAAAAACATCAAATCAAGCTTGAATTGTTGTGATTGAACAAACAGATAGTTTTCATTGTTGTCTGTATGTACTCAACATCTCTGGGAGGGGGGTTAACCCAAAACACATTACAAGCTACATAACAAATTTGACTGCCACATTTTGAATTGACTTTGAGTTTTGCGGAGAATGAGCAAAATTCACTGGTCACAGGGGACAGGACACTCCCAGCATGTAAACTTTTTGTGCAGCGCACGGCACAAATCTGTCTGTTGCCAACTGAGCCTAAAGGTGCGTTCAGTTACAAATGAATCGTCAATGTCAGTATTTGTGTAGTGTGCTGTTACTTGAAGTATGAGGAACTTAAAGTTCAACTCTTTTGAAGTGGGGTTTGTGAACAAGTTATGAACAATGAATATCTTACCTGTTATAGATTCATTCAACCTTTATTTAGACAGGTTAATCCCATTGAGCCTCGTGGACTTATTTACAAGAGAGACCTGAAGATAACTCAAGGTCAAGGTCAAGGTTCTTTATTGTCATTCGCATCGCACGTGGTAAATGTGGTAGAACAAGATTGTGTACACAGGGTCCCAGTTACATCCAACAAAAATATAAATTGTAAAGGAAAAACAGTAATAAGATCTAAGATATGAAGAAATATGCTAAGCTAAGAAAATGCTAAACACTTAATAGTGCAAAAACAGTAATATGTCGAGCAACATCATTATGAACATGAGTCTGTGTGAGCAGATGAGTATGAATGAACACAGCAACATGAAATAAGTCAGCAGCATGAGATCAGCAGCATGAGATCAGCAGCGTGGATAATCAGCAGCACACAGCAACAAAGTGGCATTACAAGTTTTTTTTTTGTTTTGTTTTGTTTTCTCTTCGAATGACTTTAAATTGGATAGCTCTTGTCTTTAAACAACTTCATATTCCAAAACAAACCTTCATGGCAGTTCACATGATTGTAATTTTATAACCTTTTACCCTTTAACTTCACCTGGATTAACTTCAGTCCTCATAATGTTCCTTTTTGGAACAACAGAGTCGTTTTACATAGAAGGAAGTCTGTGTTCATGGAAACATGGATGGAGAAACAAATATGGTCACTCACTCATCTCATGGATGAAAAGGGAAATTTATATGACTATGAAGAATTCACAAAAAAAATAAATCTAATCTGTACCAAAAAAGACTATGATAAAGTAACAAAAAATATACCAATTGCATTTGTTCAGTTAATAAAGAACAATTATGAAACTAAACCAACAATTAGTTTACCGAGCATCAATCTCAATGGACTAAATTTAACACACAATAAATGCAACAACAAATTTTTAAGACAACATTTAATAAAAACAATATATTCTGGTCAGGTAAGAAGAAAGTTTCACGATTTCTATGATAAGAAGGAAAGAATAAAAATAATGACAACATATCTGGGTTTCCCTCTTCCACCTAAATATAAAGAATTACATTTCAAAACTCTAAATAA